ACACCCTGCTGCACTCTAACGATGCGTTGCACCTTTTACAAGAGAGGGTCAGCAAAACGACCACAGGCCTCATTTTTTCTTCTCTAACAGAGCAGCTGAAGACGATCACGTCCATCTTGGAGACTTGGGCAAAAATGGACTCCTTCCTCTCCAACTCGTCTGTGCCCACGGCCGGCCTGATTGGATTCTTGTCGGATGCATCGGGTGAAGGAACTTGGAACGACGCGTACCATTGCGTGGGTGCAACTGTGACGAATGCAAAGAAGGTCGAAAATGGCTTTAAGTTCACGGGGTCCGAATCATACGCCATGTGGCCGGTGAACATGCGGAAGTATCACTATGTGCACAGCGTTGTGAATTACGCGTTCACGCTTGTGGCGACGGTGACCATCGATGAGGTTCCGAACGGGAGCGCTCCTGTGCTGGGCGCGGGCTTGGAGGACAATGAAAACACAAAGTTTGTGGGGCTGTCGTACACGACGGAGAAACAGTGGGTAACAGTCTTCGACGGCGCCACGAGAATAATACGCAACAGCACTTGGGAGCCGGGGAAGGAGTACAAAGTGGCGCTCATGCTGTGGGGTAACAAGGGCTCCGTGTACGTGGACGGCGTGCTTGTGGGGAGTTCTGACACACTACCAACCCTTGTGGCACGGAGGCATGATATCTCTCACTTTTACTTTGGTGGCGGCGAAGACACCAGTGTGACAGTAAAGGACGTCTTTTTGTACAATCATCCACTGAATTTCATGGATCTCAAAGAAGGTGACAGCTACGATGCGTCTGAGTAACGTGCAGGTCACCGCTCCGTTACATTTTTGAAAGGTATTATCAACATCATGAGTAGATTTGTGAATGGTATTGGTTACGGCCTTGTTAAAGTTGGGGAACATGCAGTTGACAGCACCAGTGCATTTGAGCAGCGTGCAGGTGACAGATCCACGCTTGCGGATGCATCTCAGCTGCTCCTGCTGCTATTGGGGCTATAGCGGCTATAGGGCCCTGTGCTGAGTGGACCTCCGGTGGAGGGGAGTTTGCGCTTCTACTGAGAGCATCTCCGTTTCTCCACTCACTGTTTACACTAAATAAACTCTCACGTAGGCACGCATTTTGTTTTATTTTACGCTTTTTTTTTCTTTGACCCCCAAATTGCGCTCTTCTTTCGGCGCCAGCACCGCGGTGTCTTGATTTATTTCATTCCGTCCTTTTTTGTTTTTTATATTGTTTGCCTCTAGCAATGACTGAAGGCGAATCAACGTTTTTTTTTGTGTGCATTTGCTCACTGTTTTGTTGTTTTACTGCTTTACGGATGTGTTTTTTTGTTGGTTGTTGTTTTGTCGGTTTGTTGTTAGCGATGGCGTTGAGCCTGCGTGTTTGCTTGGCAGGGAGACATGCTTCACTGCGCCCCTACACTGCGGTCGCCGCGGGAGGGGGCGGGGCTCTCTCTTTTACGTCCTGGTTTTGGGTGGGTGTGGATGTGTGCCGCGGTATCGGCTGACGCGCAGGCCACTGAATTC